AGATAGTGCAAGTGGAGATGAGTAGGTTTTAATGCTTCCCACAGACTCTTGCATATGGTCTCTCCCATGGCTATTTTGTCCTTTCTTCTGTTACTCACCCTGAAATTTAAGTGCAGAAATGAGCTGTACAGCCCATCATTGCCTTTCAGAAAGCAAATTGCATTCAGCTGATGTTTTGTTTGCTACTGTGGCAAGCGAAAAGGTGGTGGTAGGAGCTTGAGGAAGAAAGGGGGTGAATGAGATGTAGCAGAGGTTGTGTTTTAGAGGAAGACATGAAGATTTTTGCCAAGCTTGCGGAGGAAGAGTCATACATAAATTAGCTCATAATAAGCTGTGAAGAAAAACCTCTCAGAGTTTAGTGGTGTTTATTTTCTAAAGAAATGAAGAGGATAAGAAATTTTGTGTTACTGAGAGGGTTAAGAGTTTTCTAGTAGTGCTGCAGGAAAAGGAAGTAAGAGCTTGAGGGGGGGAAAAAGAGATTCCTTTTTGCCCCCCCACCTGGCAAAGCATGGTAGAACAGAGGCTAGGTCAGAAACTAAATACTTCTCTTGCAAACTACTTGACATAGAAATTTAATATGTTGGTGTATTTCTGGGTCATCCAGTCTAATCTGTTATATTGTAGGTAGAAATATAGAAGTTTCTTTCATAAATTTATTTTCAACATGGGTATTTTCACATCATACATGATTTAAAAAGAAACCAAAAAATCAGCGAAAGCCCCAAGCCCCAGAAATTGCCATGATTCATAACACTACCGATGTTTGCACAAGTAACCAGAATTTCTGTAGAATGTCCTAACCAAATTGCACTAGAGATTTATCAGTAACATTAAATTTCCCTACATGTTTTGAAAATACCTACTGAAATGGCTTCTTTGCTTCTCCCAGGCAACTATCACTAAAACAAGAGGGCATGGTCTTAAGCTGTGCTAGGGGAGGTTTAGGTTAGATATTAGGAAGAAATTCTTTACAGAAAGGGTAATTAGGCATTGGAATGGGCTGCCCAGGGAAGTGGTGGATTCTCCGTCCCTGGAGGTTTTTAAGATGAGGCTGGATGTGGCACTTAGTGCCATGGTCTAGTAACCACAGTGTTGGATCAAGGGTTGGACTCAATGATCTCGGAGGTCCCTTCCAACCCAGCTGATTCTATGATTCTGTGACCTTAATCAAGCTCATGATTTGCGTAGGTGCCTTCTGACCAGTCTTTCTCCTCTGCATTTAATTAGTGAATTCTATGTTGTTTGCATGTACTGGCTGCTGCTTTATGTTCAGTTCAGGAGAAGGAATGGTCTGTATGTGTGATCGGAAGGGAAGGGATTGCTAGCATAAGTGATTGGCAACTCTTACATTCTGCTTCCAAAGATACGTCATTTCTCGAGCTTCTTTGGTGGCATTTGAGAGCTGACATAGGCTGCAATGTTTCTTTTTCTTTTTTTACTGAAATAAAGTGTTAGAACTTAAAAAAGATTTATTTGTTTCAATAACAGCGTGTTTGCCTGAAGGAATGCTGAAACTGGTCCAGGACAACTGCTTTTAGAATAAATTGGCTAACTCAATAAGTGACTTTAGGAAATGAAGAACAGTTTCTACTTGTGTAGCAAATACAAGAAGTTTATTGTTTTGACTTGACTTATGAGTTTCATGTTATCTAAATAATTTAGGTTTATTAAAGACCTCCCAGCTCTGACGGCTTGGTTTACATGGTTCACTTGACTATAAGGTAGATGACTGACAGATAACAATGCTAGTTGTGATGATATTAGAAATTATTATACCTCTTGTGAAGTTCACTATCTCAACAGATTCAAGAAAAATGTGCAGATATATTTTAAATAAAGATTAGCTTCTGTTAACAAAATCCTGAGAGTCTTTAAATCAACTGATACTTAACTTCTCTATCTGAATTTTTTTATTAATATTTTCTTAAACTTTTCTGTGGGAGCACAACCTTTCATTTAGCAGTGGGTTTTTTTTGAGAGCTTATGAAATATTGGTGTATCTAATAAGACTGAAAGGGAAGGAATATTGTAGAGATAGTGTTAACTGACCTTTTCAAAATGCATGTCTGTAAGTGTAGGTTGGGTTTTTTGGTTGGTGTGGGGTTTTTTATGTATTTAATTTTACTTTATTCAGAAGCAGAACTGACTTTTCTGGTTGTGAGAAAGATTGGAGGAGCTGGGATTACTGTAATAGTGGATCTCTGAAGAGCATTATTCATGTTTGCTTCTGTCTTTCCTAGGATTAGCAATCTTAAAAAAAATATTTTCTGATGAGGTCACTGTATAACTGCATGTTTCTGCCTCGGTTGTCATCTGTTTTCTACAAAGTTAATGATCCTGGAGTATTCTAGAGTTGTTCATCTGGTAGGTGAAACCACACTGTGGTTAGGCTTTTCAATAGGCAAAGCAATGGCTGTAGCTTCCTGTGTGTGCTGGCAGTGTCAGATGGCTCACTTAAGTATAAGGGTTCTGGGCTAAATAAGAGCACAGATATGAATTGGGGAAAGCCTCGGACAGTATGGCTTTAAATGTGTTCCCATAAACTGAGCCTCTTGTGCGGTATGATTATTTTTTTGTTCACTCTGTGCTGACTTAAGTAGAAGATGCCATTGATTTCTTTTTGCAGCTAAGTGAAAATAAGTGTTATAGGCAATTGACTTGGAGGCAGAAGCTAGATCTGCTGGAATGGAAACTACATCCAGAGCTGTATTTTGAAGCAATGTGTCTGGTTTCCTCATGCATTAGTTGCAGGAAGAATCAATTCTTTTTATGTGGCCAGAAGGTTTTCTGCCTTTCTGTTCCTCCTTTCTTTTGCTGTCTTTATTAGAGCACTTGGAAGCATTCACACAGGTAATGCTGGGATTCTGCTTTGACTGCAATTTTCCTTGACTCTCCCACCTCATTGGTAATGATGTGGAGTCTGAGAGCCTGAAGAGATCTGATGATGCAAAGGCCGCTCCTGGATGACATTTCTAGCAGCATGAGATTAACTGTTTGACTCCCAAGTAGCTTGTTTTGAGGAGACGCCTCTTATCTTATGGCTCATGAATTTTGCAAATTCAAAGGTGTTTAGAGAAAATTCTCACCTGTGTTAATACTCTATGATTTATCACAGGTTCATGCTAAGATTTAACACTTTGCACATTAGAAAATGCAGTGTTCGTTCTTTTGGTTCATTGTCACTAGTGCAGTTTAGAGTGGGTGTCACCCATGTCTTCAAATGTTTCTATTCCTGAAACAGAGTTTCTGTATCAGTTGTTGCCCTGTTTTCCTGGGCCTCGTAGACTTCAAAGTTTTGTTCATATCTTTTGATTAAAACCAGTCATTGTACCAGATAACCAGTTGTTCCTTTGCCCAGGTCTGTCATGCTCCAAATGAGAAACAGGGGTAGACAAATTGCCAAATTTAATTTGACCTTCAGTTCAGAACAACAAAGAGACTGTTACAAGTTGAATGCCATTTATTCTACCTTCAGCATGACTTCAGTGGTAGGGAAAAAACCAGCATAAAACTTCATCCAAGAAGTGCTCTTAAACCCCAGAAAGAGTGTGAGAGAAGCCTATTCTGACTATGGGACATGAAGTTTTAAAGTTTAAAGGAAGCAGAACATGGCTCCCTTTCCCCAGAACAGGTGTGATGATTGCTGACTAAAGGCCTTGCTTGTTGTTGAGAAGTAGCAAGACTATCTTAATGGCTGGAATAAGGGCATCTAAACTTGTGAAATCCTAATCCCCTGACACTGAAGTGAGGTAAATGGAGAGTCTTCATCCCAAAAAAACATAAAAAATTATGATTTTTTAAATTTTTTTTTTTTTATGTTTCAGAGTGAAATTAGGCCTTGTGGTAACTTCATGAAGTTTCATTCTGGTCTTTATACCTTCTTGTGTGGGTGTTTTTTCAACTTTGCAACTTTCCAACTGTAACAAATGTGTTGTCTCACACTGCATATACAGAATTTGGATCTTGCTTCTTACTCATGATCTAGGTTGCAGCATTTGTATCTAAAGGCTAATTTAGTTATTTAAGAATTACATCCACATTGTGTTAGTAAGCTTTTGTGTAGGTCTAGCTCTGAGAATTGAAAATTTTACTGTAGATGGCTTGAACTAGGAAGTCTGAAGGAAAAGAAGAAGAGAAGATTTGTAATATGTCTCTGATAAATCTGGGCTTTCAGGTGCGCTGGGAGAAGTGCTTGATTGTGTCATGGGCCATAAAAGGAAAACTGAGTAACTGCAGCTTTTAGGCCATTGTCTTTCTAATAGGTTTTACATTGAGTTGATAATTTTGTTTATTCTGCTATAGCTGAACCTAGTATAAGAATTTAGAAAAAAAATCTACATCTGGTGTTACAGATATGTTCTTGCCAAAAAGATCCCAAAGAAATAAAGTTGCAGTATTTAGCCAGATTTAGCATTACAGAGAAAGGGACATAATGCATGTTAAGCTGGACTGTATAGTCCTGACTTCAGGACCTATGGTTACAAAATTCCAAAACCAGATAGCTAATGTTCTTCACATTTAATGTTATTTGCAAGTATTCTTCTTACGTGATTTTATGAAGCAAACAGCAGATTCTTTTTTGGCATAATCTAAAGGACCCTGTGTCTGTGGCCTTGGTACATAATTCATCTTTATTTCAGAGGTATTTTCCTCATCGCTGCTGCTGTTCCTTGTTTTAAGGTAGCAACTCCTCACATGCAGTATCCTTTCTGGAATGAAGGTATTTCCTAAGTCTATTCATTATTGCAATCAAACCTGTCTGTAAAGAAATAAAATCAGGTACAGCTCTATCCCCTGCTGTAATACAGCAAATGCTGGAAGAAATTATCTGGAGCAGCAGAATAATTTTATAGCTGTCAAGATTTAATGGGAAGACTTTAGTTTTTACCTTTACAAACAGGCTGTCAAGTCCACTTAGCCCAATCTGTCATAAATTTACTTGTATGAAATTCACAGTTCTCAGTAACTCAAGATACTTTGGAGCCAGTCTTATTTTAGCAATGGCAGCAACCCTGCAACTGGTTGAGGTCTCTGTGAATCTTCATCAGTAAGTTTGGAGTGAGGGTGGCAGTGATTGAAGTTGTACTCTCTTTCTGTACAAATTCAAAGTTTTATTATTATAGGGTAAAGGCTAAATTTTAGTAAGGTTAAGGTTAGTAAAATTTCCAGTGGTCTGTTATTACAGAGATCTTAAAGATCTATCTGTGGCTGTAATGTGAAATAGTCTGTAATTGTTGTTAACAATTAGAAGGTATCTATTCTACAAAGATTTGCCTTCAATTTTCTGAATTAGAAACTACTGGAATAAAGGGAAGAGGATATAGTTAGCTTATGTGTAATGGTGCTGGAATAGCCCCAGTCTTCTCACATTGATATTAAGAGACCTCTACTCCTCACTCCCAGTCTAGTGAAATCATAGCTGGGAAAAGGCATATTTTTTTAATAACAGAAAAATCTTATCAGTGCTTTTAAAGAACTCATGTGGTGGTGGATTTCTTTTAAATTTTTGCTTACCATCCTAACTGTTTTATATTTTGAGTTTCTTATCTGTCTCTCAAAACGAACTAATGTAAATGCATTGAAGTTCAGCATGTATACTGTTGGCTGGAAATAAATTAAGATCAACCTACAGATTCACAGCTTCTACCATTTGTGGCTGGTTGCTGTGTGGATGAAAAGGAGTTGGCTGAATTGCTGACTGGATAAGGCTTGATACAGTTGGAGGATAATAGTAAAAGAAAATTACTTTCCTAGTCTGTTGAACATGCACCTCAGTGACACCATATGGGAATTTTTTTGATCTTGTCGTTCTTTTGGCTTAATGACTATTTCTATATGCATAAAAAAACACTAAAGTGTAAGAATTCATCACTTTTCGGGAAGGATTTTGGTCCCTTTTTCCAATCAGTCATAGACACATTTTTTGGTTCTGTTACCTTTGTAAAGGGCTATGGCCATGTGCTATGTATAGGATTAAATCTATGAGCAGCTTGCAAAAGGTAACCAGTGCTGAACACGATCAGTTTAGTGGCTTGGCTGCCACGTTCCAGATGAGTTTTTCAGTTGGCTTCCAGTTGTGCTTCAATGTCATGGTTTTGCCTGTTCTTGATGGGGGGAAGTTTGCAACTCACTATGATCTGCTGCTGAGTGATTAACTTTATGCTGCCTAGCAGCAGTTAAACAAAGTGATCAGAGCGTAACCAGATACCTGTATGGACATTGTGTTCCAGGCAGTACTGTGAAGGACACTGAACTCCATAGTGTTCCCAGCCTTTGTCCTACAAAGTCACAAATGCTTGAATTCCATTAGTGTTGTCACAAGGGTGAATTGTTGTTGTTTTCTATTACTTTTTTTTTTTAGCTAAGTGTTGGAATGTTTTTATGGTACGCCTTTTTGTTTAAGAAAATGTGCACTTTAATTATTATTTAATTAGGGTATTGTGCACTTAATTTAAGACAGTTATTATTAGTATATACAGTAATGATAATATCTGTATTAACTTATGTGATAGTCACAGTTGTAACTTCAGAGTGATTGAAGTCTTTCATGCTAGTTCCTTGATGTGGATAATTAATTCTCAAGTTGGATTTATGTTAAATTATTTGTGAATTCAAGAGGAACCATCATGGAAAGTTTTAAAATTTGAATAATAGGGATAAAACAATAGTTTGAACCATGTGCTATTTTCAAATCCTCCTATTTTTCTTATGGTCTTGGGCAAGTTGTTTCTAGTTTTCCACTGACTTGTTTGTCGAGTAGTTTCTCATATGATGGGAGGTCTCTGAAGTACAATTGCCATAGTTAAGACAGTTTAGCTCCTTTGAAATGTAATTACTCTAAATCTTCTGAACTGCATTCTTCTAAAGTGAATTTGATACTTTGTTGTTTCCAAAGCATTTGGAAAATGGCAACTGAAAGTGTTACCCAGAAGAAGCAGTAATCATATTTTCATTTTCCATTTTGAATACTGCAGCTGGACATAAACCCCTGAGTACAATTTTTGGGGGGAAGAGAGAGAGGGTTTTGCTTTGTATTGTACAAATTAAAATGTTAACATTAACTTTAGGGATTGCAGAGTTGGATATTTATTCGTGAGGGAGAAAAGCTTAATCTCGAAGACCAAGTTTTTATAATGGAGGGATGTTCTCAATAATTGCTGATATGCATGAGGACCCTTGCATTTGGATGCTGCCTACAGCAACCTGAAATACAGAGATGGGAAGTTTTCAGGAGGGCAATATCTCATATCAGCAGTTTTCATTTTCATAAAAAGTTAATCCCTTTTAAAATAGCATGAGTTGTAATGCTTCTGAAACTAGAAGCCATGTTGATTTTAATGTTTAACCCCTAGTTTTGGAAAGGGGACTTGGAAGTGTAGAGAAACCTAGTGGTGGTGTGACATGGTACTTGTTTTGTCAGGCAAGTTCTTCTGCATCAGTTTTGAAAAGCTTTAATAAAATTTAAGTCACAACCTTTTAAGGTACGGAGTTCCCTTTCAGTTCTCCTTTGCTATATTTTTTGCTCAGAGTAGTCTATGGTCTTGGTCTGTGTCACTTGCTCCCCGCCCTCAGACAAACCCCCACACAGCAGGACCTTCAAGTTAGTTGACCTGTTCCCAAGCCAGTGTTTCTGTGGACCATATGAAAATGGTTACAGAGACCTTGCTTCTGCTTGGCTGTTACCAGCATGGCTGGTCTTTTGCCTCAGACCGGAGCTATGTGGTTTGTTGTTGTTTGGATTTGGTTTTCAAACTTAATCATGCTTGCTTCACTTCAGTAAAAAAATGTATTGATATAGGATCTGTCAGAAATGGATTTATGAAAACTTTCATGCTGTGTAATGCTGTATAATTTCTTGAAACGTGTTCAGAATTCACTAGAGTTTTCCTTCAACACGAAATAGAAAAACTTCCCCGTCTCAAGTGTTTCATAAGAAAATAGGTCTTTAGGGAGTGAACAGTATACTTACCTATCACACACACCATTTGATATTATTTATTGAATTCTTACAAGTGGGCAAATGGCTAATAAAGTACCTATGGTTGGTTTTTTTTTTTTTGGACACGTTATTGAATAACCAGAATTGTGTGTTTCATCAGATTGCATTGGCTGACTTGGTATTGAAGTTTTGAATATATTTCTTTCTTTCTCAAAATATCTTGAGATTACTATTGAATGGGAAATATTGTTAGCTGAAACACCACTTTTGGAAAGTGCTTTAATCAGCTATTATGTCTGCGTAATAAGAACAGTTAACTTTGGAAAAGCATTCATATAGCCTTGCATTTCTGCTGGAGCAAGTGAATGGTATTTAAAGGAAGCTGTGTTTATGATTCCAGAGCTGGTGGTAAAAAAAAGAAAATTAATACATTTTGTCAGATCTAGAATATTATATCTTTGAAGTTCTTTATCCTTGACACCTATTTATTTTAGCTAAGTATTTAACTATTCCTATTTTTGCTCATTGGTCACAAAACCTAGTGTTCTAGAACTATCAACTCAGTAAGTCTGCCTTCTTTTTCCATATGCCATAATACCTTAAGTTGTTGGATTGTTTGGTTTTTGGGTTTTTGTTTTAACATCTTTTGTAATTTCTTGTTTGCATCTTAAAAACCTGCCTGGAGTGGCTGCCTGTCAAGCTCTGACGGGCTGGCAGTGGCAGTGGTGCTGAGCAATGCTGTTGAGGGCAGCGCGTGCCAAGCTCAATCTCTACAGTGACCTTCGATCTGTGAAGGTCTGAGTAACTGGATGCAATGCTTTGCATCGGTAGAACTAGTTCAAGGGTAGCTGTATCAGTGGGGTCCTGTGCCCAGGTAAGCAGATGTGCCAGAAGAAGTATATAATGCAGTGCAGTAGTGACTACATTGCCTTGGGATTCTAGCTGATAGTTGTGCATGGGATTGTTCTGTGCTGCATAGCTTAAACATGACCATAGTTTAAAAGCCATGATCAGTTTTAAATGTCCAGAGATGGTTTTGGTTCTGTAGACAATATAATCTTGTCTTCACGGTCTCAGTAAGTGATCTCAGTTATGGAGTTAATACTTTGCAGTGTATGTAAATCTTCTGCGTAGATAGCAGAACCATGTATAAGAGGGAATGGGCAGTTATTATTTACTCTTTAAAATTTGGACTAATTAATGAAATCAAAAGCAATTTCTTTTAGATAAGGTATGATCTTATTACCTGTGAAGTTACACATTTCTTGGTTCTGCATCTTGAGCTGAGCTCTTCTAAATGACTAATTCATGAAAATAAAAAGCTGCTCAGCAGGGAAAAAAGAAGGAATCTGAATTATTGTGTCAGTAGATCCTGGTGAATTCTGCTTAGGAAGCAGACACGCCCGCTTCTGAAGTTATTCTTGAAATACTTGGTGAACAGCTCTCGTGAGCTGTTAATGCAGTATTTGGCCTGATTTTAGTAATGGTAACTTTTTAGGCTTTCTTTAGCCTAGAAAAGTTTTGGGTGGTGTCCCTCTCTCACCCCAAGTACAGATTTGTAAGTTATGTTTCAAAACACTGTGATATGAGGCTATTTCATTTCAACTTTCAGAGATGATTAAAAGTTTATTAAGAGGAGGGTCCAATCTTATGTTGACTGTTAAGATTTTCATCTGAATGTCTGAATGGGTGAATGTTTTGGGGGTAGTTGCAAAGCTTGTTCTAAGTTGCTGTCCTTCCCATTTCTCTGTAGAAAACTATCTGTGCAGAATGAGAATATATTTATCTTTGCCAGTTCCAAAATAATTTATATCACCTCAAAGTAAACCATTCCTTCACTTTCAGCTGCAGAAGGCTCTGGGGAAAAGAGGCCCTTCAAGCCTGTAGCCTAAACATGCTTGGTCTTGCTTCCTTAGAAATCATTCTTGTACCAAATTCCAAAACACACTGGAACACTTTATCTGCTTGGGAATTTTCCATGGGATACTAGTGTGGTGTTTTCACAGTAGTAGGCACTATCCTGGAATTTCAGGAAGTGTCCTCCAAAATTCTCTGTAGATATATTTGCAGTTATTTGCAGATATTATCTCTTTTTTCAGAGAGAAATAGATACAGGTTAACAAAGCTTCTTTACACAGAAGTTTTTGGTTGGGATTTATAAAGTCTTTGTTAAAAGAAAACTTGCTTTTATTATCAAAGTATAATTTATGCATAAAAGCAGATTGGCTTTTCAACTTCTTGATCCAGATGAAATTAAAATATTTCATTAAACTTGTATTGATGGGTATAATATAAGTTAGAGCTAAACATACTCTTCTCTTTTTTTTTTCTTTTTGTGTATATGTGTGTACAGAAAAGATGAAAAGGAGTATGCACTGAAGCAAATTGAAGGTACAGGGATTTCCATGTCGGCCTGTAGAGAGATTGCAGTAAGTGTATATAAATGAAAGTATTTTTACTGACATTATTACTCAACAGATATTTAATTTTCCTCGCATTAAGTAACATAAAGATTATCTAAATGTTTTCTATAAAGTATGCAAACATGAAAGTTTATTCAGATGTGAGCTTTTTTTTAAAATGCTTTCTAAGTCGTAATTTTCTTTTTAGTGGAAAGGAGTGTTCTTTCCAGGTAATAGTAGGGCCTCTTTCTGGTATAATTTGTTTCTTCTGCTTTGATATGTTCAGAGGGAAATAAATGTGAACTTTTAAATGAAGTCTTATTTTAAAAAGGAATATTTTTAAAATGACTTGAAGGAAAAAGGTTCTGAAAGATTACAGCTACCATTACAAGTCCACTTGCTAAAACTGTAATTTATTTCAGACTAATGGCAGCTTGTTCTTCTTTAGCACCCGAGAACAGTTTGTTCTCCTCATTTCTTATTTGTTTTGCTAAATAGAGAGAAATGTCATAGCAAAATAAAAACCAACTTTAATTGTATTTTTATTACATGTGTCTTAGGAGAAAAAATTGATTCAAAAATTTTGCACTTTGAAACACATTACTGCCTATCATTTCTTCAAATTTGGTAAAAATTAAGTGTTTGTATATGAAGGTAGAATTTGATCTTTAAATGTTTTATTTTACATCTGAAAATGTGCATTACTCTCAAAATTCTGGTACCAAGTAAAATTTTGCAAGAATTTGTTGCATTGCAAAAGACGTGCACTTGCTTGATTAAATATTTACCTTGTCTTAATGTTGCTGTGCTGCCAGCTGTTGAAATGTATGTTAGGATTGTACCTAAAGCTTTTTATAATCTAGCCGTGTTGCATTGAAACACAGCATTCAGGTGTGCAATGCAATTTGAGGCATTAGAAACGCATGATGTCCATGAACTGAACAAACCACTGTATCGTGTTCAGTGTAGTGTCCACGGTAATTCTGTATGAAGAGACTTAACAGATAAAACTGCTATCCTTTTAAAGTGCTTATCACTGTAAGGTCAAGGTCACTTGTGGATTTCAGAGGTGGCTGCATTGCTGTCAGTCACTTTACACAGGATTTACCCAGTGACCTTTCTCGCTAATATTTCTGCCTTTGGAGGAAATAAGAAATCCCCTTTTAACATCAGTACTAGGTTGTATTCTTGCTGCTATAAAATCGGTTTTGACAGCATTGAGGGGTTTTTGTTTCTTGGATCGTTGTTCTTTGTTTTAAATTGTGCTCCTATGCAGATAATGTATGGAATAGTCTGAAGGAAACTTTCCTGTTGTCATGACAGTGGTGTGGTATGAAGCTGGTTCTGTCATACCTGGACACAACAATGTAAGGAAGTAGAGAGTGTCCAATTATTTAAAGTTGATGATACATAACTATTTTGGTCTTGTTTTTCTTTTTTTTTAAAACTATTTTTTAAAATTAGTAAAGCTTTGTACAAAGCCCAGTACAGCCTGTGAATTTTGATTTCTATTGTGTAAGTTACTTGATTACTTTCAATGGTTCATCTGGTAATTCTTGGATTATACTTTACTCTTCTTCAGACATTATTGTGAAACTCTGTAACCTGAGCTAATGGAGCAAATCACCATTTGCCTCAGTGAAATTTCAGGTTGGTCAAATATTAGAAATGTGAAAAAGGTAAAGCTGAAATAGTTGAAAAAGAAATACAAACTTTTTGTCATATAGAAACAAGCCAGAATCAAATGCATTTTCCATACAGAGAAGCAGATTTCTAATTAATGCATCAATAACCTATCTTGTATTTAAAGGCTTAGATAGGTGACAAAGAGGGTAATGTTTACTGATTAAATAAAGATTTTCAGCCTGGAAAGAGGCCATTTAAAAAATGTCATGAGTAGTTCTCTTGACATTCAACCCACCCCTACCCTCTCCAGCAGCAAAACAACCCCAAACCCAAACCCTGCCTTGGAAACCGAGAACATGAAAGGGACACCGGTGTGCATTCAGAATATTTTAATAATTCTGTAAACTGAAGACACTTTACAATATGCTCAAGAAATATATTACTGAACTAAAAAGTGTTCAGTTTTGCAGTCCAAGACCATCACTTTGCATGTCCTATTTCTTAGACACTCAAAATAATATCTACTGGCTAACTTTCCCTAAGACAAAAGGCTCCTCTCTTCTGACGTTGCAAATTTAGTTGGTCTGTCTTTCCTTTGGACTTTGAGAACCATGAAACTTCTCTTACCACCATTCATATGAGCTTTTCCTGAAAGAAGGCATATGGCAGTGAAAACATCATTTAGGCAGTTGGTTCCTGGGGCAAGTGATTGTTACTTCATTTCAACTGTAGGGTGATACTTGCTGAAGGATTCCATATTTCAGCCAGTTCTGTTGTCTTGAATATGAAAGTATTAGAAGGTATTCTTATACATCAAAAGACGTGTGTGGGGAAAAAAAGCTAATTTGTTCCCTGTAACTCAAGTTTATTCTGAAGATAACTGAAATGGCAACGATTTCTATGTTCCTTTTATGAGGCAGATTATTGCTTGGCTTAAGCAACAGCATGTTTTGAAGAACAGTGGTGTAAAATATGAATGAGAGTTATGAAATATAGAGTTTCATTTTTAGATGATTATTTATTTAATGAAAATGACATCTCTTTCAGCTCAAGACTTGAATTAACTCATTTTGGAACTTCTGGTTGGGGGAAAGGAAGACTTTTATTCAGTTATGCTGCTTTCACATTTTATGTTTTGCTCCTTACCTTGTCTAAGTAATTAGGTAGGTTTTCTAGAACAAGTGGAGACAGAAGCAGCAGACCAGAGTGGTATTATTTGTTAGGGCTGTTTTTCTCCTGTGAAGTATCCCGATCTTCATTTGTTCTGTTAGAAACAAATAGCTATAACTTTAAAAGTCTGCAAACAGCTAATGGTAATGGAATTTTGTATTTCTTTATCAAAAAACCACCAGGGAAATACAACTTTATCTGAGATTTCTTGTCCCAAAGGTTTCACTTCCTGTGAGAGTATTATCCAAATTAATTCTACTACTTTGCTTTTCACCATCAAGAGACTATAGACTTCTAATTGTGGATTTTGGGAAAAACTAATTCAGAATAAAGAAAAATAATAAGCTTTTTCTTAATCCGTACCATTCACTAAGTACTTAGTAAATGTCTGGATGTGTAGCCTTGTCATGGTTTGAGAGCCCCAAAAATCCTTGAGAGTGGAAGAACTTCAGTGCAATTGTCATTACTGGCTTATTTAGCTGATATGATGCAGGTCAGAATCTTAAGTGAATGGAGCATGTCAAAAAGCAGGATCACAGCCCAAACTTTATGAAAGCAGACTTGAACCTCATCTTGGAAGAATTCTGTTGAGATACAGCCCTGGAGAGAAGAGGATACAGGAAAACATGTTGGTATTCAAGGATCAGATTCAAGAAATCTCCATCCCAAGAAGTAGGAAAGCAAGCAAGGGCAACAGGAGACCTGAATGGATGAACAAGGAGCTCCTTATTGAACTTGGACATAAAAAGGAATCAGGAATTCCTTTTGGAAGCAGGGATTGGTAATACAAGAGAAGTATAGAATTGCTGTTTGATCTTGCAAGAGTAGGGGTTAGAAAAGCCAAGACCGATGTGGAGTTGAGTCTGGCAAGGGACCTGAAGGGCAACAAGAAAGGATTCTACAAGTACATGAATATCAAAAGGAAGACTGGGGAAAATATGAACCTGCTGCTGAATGGGTACAATTGGTATGGAAAAGGCCAAAGTACTCAATAACTTCTTCTGCCTCATTCTTTACCAGTAAGGCCAGGTTCAGAAATCTCATGCTCTTGAGACCAGAGAAAAAGTTGAAGGAAAATTTACCTTTAGTGGAGGAGGTCCGGGTTAGGAAGTGTTCAAACTGGACATACACAAGTCTGTGGTGCCTGATGAGCTGTGCCTACAAGTGCTGAGGCAGCTGCTTGGATTTCATTTTGAGACCATCCTCAGTTATCTTAGAAAGATAATAGTGAATGGAAGAGAGCAAATGTCACTCCTGTTTCCAATGAGAATCAAGGGAACTACAAGTTGATCAGCTACATCTTAGTCACTGGGAGGGTGCTGAAGAAAATCCTGGTGGAAACGATTTCCAAACCCACGCAAGACAAGACAGTGATTGGGCATAGTCAGCCCAATCGAAGGGAAAATCATCCATAACCAATCTGTTAGTCTTCTACGATGAGATGCCTGGCATGGGGAATGAGGTGAATGCTGTAGATTGTTTATCTCGACTCTACTGAGGTTTCTGAGGCTGTCACCCGTAACATTCTTGCAGACAAGCTAACACAACCTGCAGACAAAGATGACTACTACTAAGGGTTTCATGTGAACCAGTGACTTGAATTAGGTCCTAGATGCTGTTTGGTCAACTCCTGGTCCCTTCCAGCTTTTTACCCACCCTTGCCAATGAGAACTTCCCCTCTTCAAGGATAAATTACCAACTGTAACCATCTGCTCTGTAAATAGTAATCTTAATTCTAAAATTCATTTGGTTTTTCTATAATAGGGTGTTTTTATAGATAATTTTTTTTTTCTGTAGAGGAAGAAAATGAGACTAGGCTGTTGCAGATGATTTAAATGGGAGAAGTAGAGCCAAAAACCAGTGTCATTGCTAACCTAGCCTTTTTTAAAGAATGCCCTAAGTGCTGCAGTTTTGCCCTGTGTGAATGTTGGGTCTGGGACTTGTAACCATTTTAGTTGCCACATCCTGTGCCTGTGTGTACTGTTTTTTAGTGAAGGCTGCTCTTTCTGGGAGGCCTTTAAATGTTGCCAGTATGCTGTGGGACACTAGTGGGAGCATTAGTTGACCTTTGTGTTCATACTTGCATCTATGGGTACAGGCTAAAATAAATTTAGACTGTAATGTTAAACGAGTTGCTGAAAGCTTATTTGAACAATTTAGAATGCACAAATTATTCTCAGGCCTTTTGCCTACTGATGCAGTGTATGTTACAAACTGCTAGAGGGTACAAA